CAAGTATCTCATATTCTTTTTTCACAAAATTTTCAGCATCATCTTTACCTTTTTGAACATCGACGGTAAAAATGATGGCAATTGGTATTGTCATCATAACAAGTAAGAACCAATAAGAATATCGAAGGTCGTGGGTTGTATCACTTATTAAACCAGTAACTAATGGGCCCAACCAACTTGAACCCTTCATATTATAAAGTAAATTTGAAATTGTAAATATAAATAAAATAAATACAATTATCCGACAAACACTTAATGATCATAAATTTATTTCTCTAGTTATTTTGACTGATCATAAATTGTCGGATAACATCAATACTGGACAAGAGCTGATAAATAACGACAATTTGGTAGTTACACCAATGTTTTTGCCCAGTATTTATATAAAACAATTATTATTAATAGTATTCACATACATACCTTATCAGTAATTTCGTAAAGTGAAAATAATTCATTTTCATGTCCACGTGGTACTATACTTCCAAACAAAACTCGACAAAAACTCTGAATAGCACCCAATGAGAATCCAAAGTAAACAGCGAACATCCAAACCTCCCAAAGGTTTTTGAACCCGAAAGGTGCTACAAAACCAATTAATCCATATATTGGAATTAATGAATAAAGGCTTGCTGTTATGATAATCATCGTTTTAGTTCGTAAATTAAAGTATTGTTGAATTTTTAAAAATATGTAAACTCCAATGAATGCACATATAGGAGTTATTACGGCAGCTATTAATAAATCCTTTAGACTAAGACCGAGCTGTTTTTTGCCAAAAAGTACGGCTACAGATGCAATCGTATTAAATCCATCACTTAATAGAAACCAAGCAATTAAGAATTTCATGGTTTGCCAGAGTTGACGCGTTGACGAAATAGTTTTTGCAACGCGTTTCCATGAATAAAAAATATATTTTTCACCACTGAAATAAGATATAATAAAATAAAACATGAATGAATATTAAAATAAATAAACAATATTTTCTTGTTATCTGGCATGATTTGACGGATACATGGGTATTGGCAGGATAATAGCAAAAGCACGTGGCCGAAGG